AGAGTTAGAAACATCGATGAGAGAGAAACATCGATCAGCTGCCTCCTGCACATCTCCCACTGGGGATGTGCCCGCAACCCAGGTACATGCCCTTGACCGGAATCGAACCTGGGACCTTTCAGTCCGCAGGCCGACGCTCTATCCACTGAGCCAAACCGGTTTCGGCTGTTCTTGAGCTTTTAATGCTGCTTTTCTTGCTGTCCATTTATATGGTTTAATGTCTTATATTTAATGCTCCCAGATCTTCAGTTAGTTTTCTTAAACTTGTTCCTTGATTTGTTCATTTTAAAAGATACTGCCTGGTCCTGTCTATCCTCCTTTTCTCCTGTTCATCATTGTCCTTGAGTTTGCATTCTTCTTTACTGTCAACGCCCCCAGCTAGTCTGTCTCTTTGATATTCCTGTCTACCCTTCTTTACTCTTTTTATCTTTAACCTGCTCAGCACTACCTTATTTTCTCTGTGCAAATTCCTGTGCCTATTTCTTAGGTAGTTTTCTGACCTCTTGCTTCTACTTTGTTTGTATGACTTCCTTAAAATTTGTGTAAAAGAAATACCAAATGTACAGTTTTTAAAGGGCCCTTATTGTTGGTGAGTAAAGTATGGCATCAGAATCACTTTGTGTTTACATATTGTGCTGTATCTTAAACATTTTAAAACCAAATTTGTTGTGTTTTGAAGAGGATAAAAGTAAGAAAAAAGATTGGAAATGTTGATCTCTTAAATATTTGGTTTGGTTATTAACATATTCAATCTTTTCCCTCCAGATTTAACTCAGGCTTTCCCTCACTTTGGAACTCCTAGATTTGTGAATATTGGATATTTTGAGAAGCAGGGGTTCTTTCCTTGATACTGACTAAGGAGTCTATTTACCTTCAGGATGACATCTGAATTGGAGAGCAGCCTAACATCTATGGACTGGTTACCACAGCTCACCATGAGAGCAGCCATTCAAAAATCTGATGCTACACAAAATGCACATGGAACAGGAATTTCCAAGAAGAATGCACTCCTTGACCCAAATACAACTCTGGACCAGGAAGAAGTCCAACAGCACAAAGATGGGAAACCTCCTTACAGTTACGCCAGCCTCATTACATTTGCCATTAATAGCTCACCCAAAAAGAAAATGACCCTAAGTGAGATTTACCAGTGGATTTGTGATAACTTCCCATATTATAGAGAGGCTGGCAGTGGTTGGAAGGTAAGGATTTTTTTAAATTTCTATTTTTATGCTGTAAACAATAATAATATTGGCTTCTCTTGAAGATAAAGCTCTGTGTAGGCTTATATTTGAAGATGAAATTCTAATTACTAGTCATTTTTAGGGTATCAAAGGACATTAAGTGTTTTTAGTTAGTGAATATCTTTTTGGTAGAATATTGGTTTGTTAGAGCTTTATTATATGACTGACTCAGCATAAAATAAGAGCAGAGATAATGTAGCATTCACTGGAAAACAATATAGTTCAGGTAAGTTGACAGTGAGTCTAAGGTAAAATAAAACAATGTAGCATTGCAATTAGTACTGTTTTTATCATCCAAGATTTTTCAAAATATTTTTATTTTGAAAGAATTTTAGATTTATAGAAGAGTTACATAATTATTACAAAGGGTTTCCATATGTGCTTCACTCTCTATATTAACATCTTTTATAACCATAGTACAGTGATCAAAACTAAGAAATTAATATTGGTACAATACTTTTGACTAAAACAGTACTGTTAACTACTAAGTAAACAGAGTTTATTCACATTTTATTAGTTTTTCCACTAACATTCTTTTATGTTCCAGGATCCCACATTTCATTTAGTTGTTATGTCTCTTTTGTTTCCTCCAATTTGTAACAGTTTCTTAATCTTTTCTTGTTTTTACGACCTTTGACACTTTTGAAGAGTACTTATCAGGTACTTTGGACAATAATTCTCAGTTTGGAATTGTCTGATGTTTTCTCATAATTAGAGTGAGATAGTGTATTTTGGGGCAGAATAATGCAAAGGTGATGTGTCCTTGTTTGTATATGGTATCAGGGGTACTTGATGTCACCATGTCTTATTGCTGGTAATGTTAACCTTGATTCTTTGGTTAACGTGGTATGTGCCAGGTTTCTCAACTATAAAATTACTGTTTCTTACTTTGTAAATTATAAGATGTTTTGGGGAAATATTTTGGGGGCATTCAAGTACCCTGTTTTTTCTTAAACTATTGCTCATTAATTTTAGCATTTATTGGTGGATCATATCTACAGCAGTTTTTGTTTTCTAGTGGTGATTTTCTTTTTTTCTTTATTCCTTATACACTTATTAATTGGGATTCTTCTGTAAGGAAGTGTTGCCTTTTCTTTCCCTTTTATTTATTTATTTAATCACTCATTTGTAATATTATGCTTTGATGGATATTTTATTATCTGTACTGTCATTGTTGCTCAAATTGTTACAGCTTTGGCCATTCGTAGCTCTTACAGGTTGGCGCCTTTTTTGTTGTTGTTGTTAATCCTCATCCGAGGATACTTTTCCATTTATCTTTTAGAGGGAGTGGAAGAGAGAGGGAAAGACAGAAACATCTATGTGAGAGAAACACTTTGATTGGTTGCCTCCTGACCAGGGCCTGGGCTGGGGAGGAGCCACAACCAAGGTATGTGCCCTTGAATGGAATTGAACCCAGGACCCTTTGGTCCACAGGCCGGTCCTCTATCCACTGAGCCAAACCTGCTAGGGCAAATTGAGAAATATAGAATGCTGTGCTTTAAAGAGTTGAATAATTGAGCACACCTACTGTGTGTAAGCCATAAAAACACCCAATGAAAGTATTAAATGAAGGGTGTAGTTAATAATTGCTGTGAGAATTTAGAAGAGCTTATGGGAAGTATGATGAGGTTATGAATTGAGTGGCACAAAGCTTAAGTGCTATGAGAGTACAAGGAAGGGAGAGACATTAGAAAACTATTGAGGAAATGGAATTTAACTATATTTTGAAGAAGACTATGATTTGGGGAGGTCTTTTTATTTTTTATTTTATTTTATTTTATTTTTTTAATTGATTTTAAAAAAAAATATATTTCATTGATTTTTTACAGAGAGGAAGGGAGATGGAGAGAGAGATAGAAACATCAATCAACCAAGGTACATGCCCTGACCGGAATCAAACCTGGGACCCTTCAGTCCCCAGGCCGACGCTCTATCCACTGAGCCAAACCGGTCAGGGCTTTTATTTTATTTTTTAAATATGTTTTTATTGATTTCAGAAAGGAAGGAAGAGGGAGAGAGAGATAGAAACATCCATGATGAGAGAGAATCATGGATCAGCTGCCTCTTGCAAGTCCCCCACTGGGGATCAAGCTCACAACCCAGGCATGTGCCCTTGACTGGAATCAAACCTGGGACCTATCAGTTCGCAAGCCGACGCTCTGTTCACTGAGCCAAACCTGCTAGCGCTGGGGAGGTCTTTTTAATAGCTTCCAGGAAATGATTGTAGGGGTTCTTAGTAGAGAACAGAAGAGTTGGGATGGAACCAGAAGGTATCAATCCCATGAGTTCATAAATGCCGAGCCGAAGAGCTTGATTCAAATTTGGTAGGTAATCCTGTCCTATATAATAAAAGCCTAATATGCTAAGTGTCTGACCGTTCGACCACTTGCTATGACGTGTACTGACCATTGGTAGGTTAGCTTACTGCTGGGGTCTGGCTGATAGGGACTGGGTGAGATGGGCTGGACATGCCCTGGAGCCCTCCTGCTGTCCCTCCCCCACCCGGATTGTGCACCAGTGGGGTCCCTTGGCCTGGCCTGTGCCCTCCTATAATCCAGGACCCCTCGGGGGATGTCAGAAAGCCAATTTCAGCCCGATCCCCACAGGCCAGGCCAGAGGACCCCAGTGGTGCATGAATCTGTGCACCAGGCCTCTAGTAGTACATAAAGTTCGGTTATATATCTCATTTACCTGTCTGACCTCAGCTTCTGCTGAAATGTAAGTCCACCTGAGAGAGCCAAATCCAGTCTACTGAATTTTTGGTTCTCAGCCCAAACCATGGTATGAAACTGGGTTAGAAGTAGTGATACAATTTCAATTGGTACATGCATGATTTAGATACAATGAAGAAAGAAGGTTAAAAGAGGAGAAATGGGAGTGGGTGGAGAAGGATGATGTTGCTTTTTTTTTTTTTAAATTTATTGATTTTTTACAGAGAGGAAGGGAGAGGGGGTCAGAGAGTTAGAAACATTGATGAGATCAGCTGCCTCCTGCACACCCCGACTGGGGATGTGCCAGCAACCAAGGTACATGCCCTTGACCGGAATGGAACCCGGGACCCCTCAGTCCGCAGGCCAACACTCTATCCACTGAGCCAAACCGGTTAGGGCTGATGTTGCTTTTAGAACTAAAAGATACACTAGAGAGATTATTTTGTCCATTCTGTTGCTTTAGGTAGACCTTTAATATTTTCAGAGATAGGTGTTCCATAATTATTCTTTTAAAAAGTTTCTTCCAGCCTGGCTGGTGTGGTTCAGTGGTCGAGCGTTGACCCATGTACCAAGAGGTCACAGGTTTGATTGCCTATCAGGGCTGGGTTGCAGGCTCGACCCCCAGTAGCGGGTGTGTGCAGGAGGCAGCTGATCCATGTTCATGTTTCTCATCGATGTTTCTATCTCTTCCTTTCCCCTCTAAAATCAATAAAAACGTATTTTTAAAGAAAAGTTTCTTCCACCCAATTTTAGGTGCCTAGAACTTGCCATGATCAGCTTTAAATTTATTTTTGTAAACATAGAAATATTTTGAGCATTTCAAAGGTAGACAAATGGAAACTGGTTTTCATCCTCCTTTGTTCAGGTCCTATCTCTCTTTTCAGGTTTTACTTTCCGTTCTTTGTCCTTAGATTGTTTAGCACACTCCTACAATCTGCTACTCACTATATCTTCTTTAGATATGGAGGAGATGGGTTAGGGGAAAGTGGGAAATCATTTAGTTGTATTGGTTGAAGTAGGCTAAGAATGATCCTTAAGTAGCTGTCAATCACCTTTCCAGAAATGTAGAGCCAACTGAAATCACCCAGAGGAGGAAATGTGCTCATGGTCACGCAAAAGGATTGAAATAGAATTTTAATATTTAGGTAAAACTCTCTTTCATTTTCTGTCAGGGCATTGAAGGGAACTTACATATTAAAAATAACTCTAAATATTTTGTAAGAGTTTAAAAAACATTCTCGGAATTTTCCATAATTAAATGATTTTATAATCTGAACTATATGTAAAGGAATTTAAGTTTTGGTGCTATTCACCTTACTAAAGAAAATTAACCTATTATGTTACTGGAGTATAGGGTAATAAAAAGAAAAATACAAGAGTGTTATGTGTATTATGCTATTTTTTTATGTGGGGGGAAAAATAAAAATATGTATTTGTGTATTGTTATAAAAAAAGAAACTTAAGAATAATAAATGAGAAACATAATAAACAATAGAGGCCCAGTGCACAAAATTTGTGCATGAGTAGGGTCCCGAGGCCTGGCCAGCAATCAGGGCTGATCTGTGGGGCAACCAGCAGGGCATTTGGGGGGGCCCCCTCCTGGCACCTGCCTTGGTTGGCCTGCTGCCACCCACTTGCCGGCCCATCCCCTGCTGCCGCCGCCAGTTTCCTCCTTCTGTGGGAGGCGACTGGTGGGGTGATGGGGGGGGGGGGCACTGGCATATACCTTGGCTGGCCTGGGGGCTGGGGACAGCTCCTGTGTTGAGCGTCTATCAGCCGTGGGTCCAGCTACATGCCTGTCCATCCACCCACCCGTGCACACATCTTTGTGCCCACTTGCCCATCCATGGCTGCTTCCAACTCTCCCAGCAAGTGCTCTCCCGCACCAGTCCTGTGCCGGTCCTGTGCTAGGGTCACGGGGCATGCAGAGATTAAAATGAATTAAGTTTACAATGTTCAAGAAAATCTTGGTCTAAGTCTGTATTCACTCCAGGTCACCTTCCAGGTGACTATTTGTTGAGCTCCTCCTATCAGTCAGGTGTTTCAGGCACTGGGCACAGATAGACACTGTTACTCTACCCCCTCCCACTTTACAGACGAAGAAACTGAGGCTCAGAGGTTATAGTGCAGTGGTTCTCAACCTTCTTAATGCTGCGACCCTTTAATACAGTTCCTCATGTTGTGGTGACCCCCAACCATAACATTATTTTTGTTGCTACTTCATAACTGTAATTTTGCTACTGTTAT